ACCTAGGCCGCCTCCAAGCCCCCACGGCTGGGTTCCTGGCAGAGGGAGCAGGACCGCGACGAGGTGGGAGGCCGCCGGGCAGCACCTGGAGCCCACGGGGTGGGGGGCTGGAGGGGAGGCACAGGTGCTGACGACGGATCTCATTTCTTCTCTATGCTTTTTCTGTATTTTCCAAAGCATCCCTTCTGAGCAAGTCTTGCTTTCATAGTCAGGAAAAAAGAAATACCAGCACAGCCAACAAAGAGCAGGTGCGAAGTCCCAGGGGAAGCGGTGGATCTGAACACACTTTAAAGTGGGAAAGCCCCCGGGGTCCAGTGGGCCATGTGGACACACTCTGGCCACCTCCCCCACCCTCGTGGCCCAGAGGCTGCAGCCGCCATGGCCCCTCCAGCCCCAGCTCTATAAGGACACAGACCCGGACGCGCACTCCAGCCGGCCCGGAGCGTGAGGGCCAGGCCTCGTTCTGTCTGGCCTTTTGTGGACAGGAGGGCAATGGCCAGGATGCCTGAGCCAGTCCGTGCCTCAGCTCCAAGCCAGCTGTGCCTCAAGGGATGTCCTGGCTGCTGGCCCTGTCCACCCAGAGAGTCCCAAGGAGGATCTGCCAGCCCTCAGAGGCCCGGCGACCCAGGCGGTGGCTGCCCCAGCTCCAGGAGACAAGCAACTCCAGGCACACACACCGTCCACCCTGCTGAGACCTTCCTGTCTCTGGTCACTCAGCCAGTCGGGTCCAGCACTATGCCCTGCTCTCTTGGCAACCTCCTGGCCCCCTCGCTGACCCTCCCAGGGCTGGGTCATCTCCCCACCAACAAAGCAGAAATCCTGCTGTGTGAGCTTGAGTTACTGACTGAACGTCTCTGAGCATGGCTCTGCTGCTCTGTCAGCCCCTCAGCACATGGCTAGCCGGGCTGGGATCCAGGCTAGGTGGGGCGAAGTGAAAGGTGGACCCCACTCAGTATCACTGGCTCAGGATCACACATGGGGCCATGGAGCTGGGGGCAGCCCAAACCAGCCTCCCCACCTGTGAGCTCACTGGGCCAGCTGGCCACTGGGGGTGGCCAGACCAAGTTCTGCCAGCGTTGCAAAGCTCCAGTTCCTCCCAGGTGGAGCCATGGCCCCATCCTCAGAGAGAGTGAGCAGGTGGTTGGGGTGGGCACACGCAGCCTGGCCATGGGCCCCAGTGGGTAACGGCTGGGGCAGATCCCCCTGACTTCCCCCACCTCCATCCATCTGTGCACTGGGAAGAAAAAGGAGGTAACTGCTTGGAGCCCCCAAAGAAGAAAGGAGCTGCCACCACCACAGCCCCCACCCCCCCGACCTGTAGGAACTGCATCTCTCAGGGGCAGCCAGGTGGCTCAGTGACCCAGGGAAGCCTCCACAAAAGCTCCCCAAGACGGCAGGCATTGCCCGGAGTGCCGCCTGGCGTCAGGCCCGCCTCCACCACCCCAGCTCCCGCAGAATGGCTCTGGCAGCTCTCCTTTTGGTGCACACTGCCCAGGGGCCATGGACACTCCTGATGCCCCAGGGCCCCTGCACCACCCAGAGGCCAGTCCCCAGGCAGCCTCAAAGTCCTGGGGAGGGGGGCAGGATGCAACCTGGGGCGGCTGGTGGAGAGTCACTGCTCCCGCTCACCCTCTAGGAGCCCAGGGCCCCTCCTTCCCTGGGGGGCACGCCCTCTGCGTCTGTCCCGCCCAGCCCGGCATGCCCCAGCTCTGACCCTTCCCATCTGCATCCACCAGCCCAGCAGCATCTCAAGGCGGGCCACTTACAGAGACTTGTAGGTGCACTGTCGGGACCAGGGAGGGGCCGGGTACCACACCCCAATGCTGCAAGCCCCAGTGTGGCCCGGACCCCACATGCCCCACACTCCCGGCACCTGGTGGGGGCCAGACTCAACCCTCCAGCCCCTGCCACGTCGCCCTCATCTCCATGACATCAGGAGCAGCTCATTCACGTTCTCCCCTCATTCTTTGGCGTGGAGTGGGGTAAGTAGCTGTGAATGGCATCCTGTTGCCACGGATACAACACACGAGAACCCGGGCAAGCAAACTGCACCGTGGGGGTGGGGCTGCCACGTCCCCCAGTGCTGTCCCGCTACCCCAGCCCTGGGCCTGGGCCTCGCACTGTCCACCCTCCCAGCACCAGCTGGGAGCGGGGTTCCCTCGCTGGAACCAAGGGGTGCCTGCTCTGGCCGAGGGGCTGAGGACGCGATGAGAGCCACGGCGCCGTGGGAACTGCTTCGTCTGGAGACCGGGGCCTGTGCCCCATTGTGGATGCAGGGGACGCCAGCCCTGGTGTGGGTGGCACAGAGCAGGTGCTGGGTAGCATCACCGGGCTCCAGGTGAGCCGCCCAACCCGGGTCCTGCAGCCTGAGTGGGGGCCCCAGAGCAGGGCCCAGGCCACACCTCCTGGCACAGCTCTGACCCTCACCCCCACACACCCACTTGGGTCTGCCACTGGGGGACAGAGCTGGCATCAGCCAGGGCAGGCGCTGTGGCCCACAGGAGCCCGGAGAAACTCCAGCCCAAAACAAGAAGGGGCCTCCTACCTGCCAGGGACACAGACCATCCCCAGGCAGCCGACAGGACATGCTGACCTGCTTCCCAGGCCTTGAGCCTGTCACCCGGGCCTGAGGGCCTTCCCTGCCCTCTCGGCTGGGAAACTTCCCATTGCTCAGTGGGGCTGCCTCAGGGAGCCTTCTGGAAGGACCTGCAGGGCTAGACCAGGTGCTCCCACTCCTGCCCTCAGCCTGGCACCCAGCACAGGACCTGCCCAATGTCAGCATCAGCAAGTCAGGCATGGAGGGGACGGGGCATGGGGTGGGTGGGGAGCACCGGGGGTGCAGAAGTCCGAGGGTGGAGCCCCCTTTCCTGGGCACCATCGCCCCTGGATCCAGGCACCTCCCCACACCGAGAAGTGCCAGCTCCCCCTGAGGGCCCTGCCTGGGGATGCGGCCTCAGGGACTCTGGGTCTGGAGGAGGGGCCCAGCAGCCTCCCCTCCCCCGTGCCAGCCACCCTTTCTCTGGGTGTCCATTCCAGACTGAGCTGAGAAGCAGGGGCCCTGAGCCTGGGCAGGGGCCGTGTGCCTCTGAGCAGCCACCTCCCTGAGGGAGAGGAGACCCGCCCGGGCACATCTGGGGAATGTGGGAGGAACAAGCCAGGGCTGGCTCTACAGGCACACGGAGGGGTGTACACCCACACACACGCACGTCACGCATGTACACGCACAGACCCTCACAGGCATGCATTCAGATTCATGCGGCACACGCGTGTACACACGTGCGAACACTCACTTCCACCACTGCTCTCCCCTGGGGAGCAGCCACCAAGCTAGCAGCAAGGGCTCCCAGGAGGAGCAGGTGCTCTTGTGCATGAGCACGCACACGCATGCACACACATGCATGCACACACCACAGGTACACACACATGCACGTGCACACGCCCCCCCCACTGAGATGCAGCCCTGTCGTCATGCCCACAGACCCACACAGACACGCGCACCCTCACCTCCTGGACCCTTCCTCTTTGGTCTCCTCCCCCACCTCCCAAGAGAGCTGAGTCAGGGTCCCAAGAGCCGCTGTGTCTGCCAAGGAGGAGCCAGAGGAAGATCCTGTGCCCACACACACACTGGCAGCCAGAGGCAGACCTGCCGCTCAGCAGAGGGCCCAGAAAACCAGAAACCTACGCCTCCTGGGGTCTCCCACACCAGGTGGGGTCCAGTAGGCTCCTGGGATAGATCCCAGAAGGCCCCCACATCAGGAGACCCCTGACCTTTTGACCATGCCCAGGTGCCGGGCCCAGCAACACGTCTGAGAAGAAAACATTCCTGAGATGCAGGGATGTGTCTGCCCCCACCAGCCCCTAGGTCCTCACGGTGCACCAGGCGGCCAAGAGCTGCCCCCAGGGGTTAACCCACCCCCTCTCCAGGTGGGCTGAGCTCCCACCTTATCCCAGAACGGTGGCTCCTGACTCAGGGGCTGGCAGGCCCAGGGCCGCAGGTGGCAGCTCAACCCGGGCCTGAGGCCCAGGGCCCAGGGGCAGACACACACCAGCTCAGCCCACCACACTGGGTGCTCGGGACAGAAAGAAGCCAACTGTTCTGAGCTGGAAGGGGATAAGCCCCCCACCTCCCAGACTGCCAGGGCCCATATGCAGGCTCATACCTGAGTAGTATGTAATCCTTCTATGCGGACAGATTCTGAACACGGAGCAAATTACACAGCAGGACAGAGACTGGAGACAGCATCTCCGGGAGGAGCCTGTGCTGCCCGGGGAGGGGAGGGCACCGTCAGCACCCACCCTTCCCTCAGGCCGGGGCCCTCGCACCTGGCCAGGCTCACTGTACACCCGTATACCCGAGTGATTCCAAATGTCAGAAGTGGAAACACAGCAAATGAACGAGATAGAAGTCAGAACAGCAGTGACCCCTGGGGGCAAGAGGGTAGTCCCAGGGAGGGGCAGGTGGGAATGCCCCGTTTCCTGATCTGGGTGGCAGTTACACGGCGAGTTCACTCTGCACGACCTCATCCAGCCGCACACCTAAGATCGCGCTTTACAGTCCCTTCTTTTTTAAAGTTGAGGGAGGAAAAAGAGAGCGTGCTCCTAAACCAGCACAACCCACTTCCAGAAGCCACAAGTATCGTCACCAATAGGCCACAGGACATTGAGAAGTGGCAGACCCAGAGATACCAAGCACCTGTCCAGGATGCACAGCCCAGCAGCCGCGAGACCACTGAGCATCCCCGAATCGGCCCAGGGTTCCCGGGGTCTGCCCCAGCTGGACAGAGCTGGAGGGGCAGCTGGCAGCCCCAAAGCTGTCTTGTTAATGTCTGTTTGTTCTGCCTCCTCTTGCACTGGGGCAGGTGCACGGCGACCAGCCCATGGCAGCCCCCCTGTTCTGGAGGAGCTGGCCGAGCCCCTCTCCCAGGTGGGACCAGGACGTCACGCTTGATGGGGAACCGAACCCAGAACCACATGGCTGTCTGCCCAGAGGCCTCACTCACCCACAGGCAGAATGTTGATGGTCAGGAAAGGCAGTCCACTCGCCAGACCAGGCCCTGGGTCCTCGGGCGGGGGAGCCATCAGGGAGGGATCGCAGGCTCTCGGCGGTGGCGGCAGCCGGCGACAGGTGGGACCGGCCTGGATTACCAGCTGAGGCCGGCCATCCGAGGGAGGCAGAAAGAGGCTGCTCTGAGGTCGCACTGCCCCCAGGGCCCCCGGCGTGTCCCGCTGGGATGAAGTCTGCCGCTCATCACACACCTAGAGGGAACAGGGGCAGCAGGGGTGTGGGTGAGGCCTGTCCAGCCGCCCAGGTTCACATGGTGGGAGCACAGGAGGATGCTGTCTTGCAGCCCAGCTCCACCACCCCAGAAGTAAACAGCCCACCAAGGTGGGTGCAGGGGCAGCAGTGTGCAAGGGTCAGGCAGGACGGCAGCACCCGCCCCGGGACACGGAGGCTTTGGGTGAGCAGCAAGTGAAGCCAGAGGGCCAGGGACGGTACCAGTGGCGTTGTCACCAAAGTGTTGACGGTTCCCTGTGCTGGGACTTTTTCCACAGCTTGAGGAAGTTCAAAGGAACCATCTTAAGAAACCACCAGCCCCTTCTGCTGTGACGGCGCTGGAGGCACTTGCCAGCCCTGGGCCACAGGAGGAGCCCATGGCACATTGGGGACCCTTAGTCCTCCCTCCAGCCCTCAGGTCCCACTGCACTGTCACTCTCAGGTCGGGGGTCTCAGGCCCTTTAGCCACCACTTGGTTTGTGCAGGGAATTGAGGCCACTTCGGCCTCCCAGGCTGCTGTCTGCCCCTTGACCCCTGGCTGGGCTCCAGGCCCCTAACTCTCCCCACCCCCCAGGAGGGCCCCAGGCTCCACCCAGCCTCCTCATGGCCCCACTAAAGGCTCAGTCCCACCCCAGCCTCTGCTCAGCCTCCTCTCCTGCTTGGAACTCTCCTTTCCATCTTCTCTCCATCCACCCAACTCCTCCTCACTTCCCCGGGCCAGCTCCTTCAGAGGCTTCCTTGGCGCTCACTCCTCTGAGCCTCCTTCCTGGAGGCCACAGAGAAACTGCAGAGGCCAGGGTGGGAGTCTCTAGCCGCTGGGCTCTGTCTGGAGCCTCTGACATCCCAGGACGGAGCTCCCAGGGCCTGGCCCTCGGATAGACATGGGGCCATGGGCCCTCCAGACACTGGGAGCCAGCCCAGCTCAGGTAGGAAGAGTGAACGGCCGGGGTCGGTACGCTCAGGCTCCCAATGGCACCTCCTCTCCCAAGGGCCCCTCGGTGCAGCCCCACCACACATCCCTCCTCAAACCCAGGTCCCTCCGGCCTCCTCCACTCCCCAGGAAGGAGGACCCCTCGGTGGTCCGTCCTCCCTCACCCTGGCACGCTTCAGCCCCGGGCCCTCCACCTGGCCCACCCCCTCCAAGAGCAGCAGCAGGCCTGGAGTTGGCTGGCCAGCAGTCCTCGGGCATCCCATGCCTCAGAAGAGCGTAGGGGGTGGATGCCAGGCAGCCCAAAAGCCTGGGCCCCTCGGGACCCATGCTCACCCTCCAGCCCAGCGGCCTCACCCACCCCGGCCTGGCTGTGCCCGCCACAGCCCGTCACAGGTCCACCCTCCTCTCCTGGACTCCCCATGGGCTGCCCTGGCTCCAGGCTCACCCGCAGGTGTGGGGTCTCCCAGCCCAGGCTCCACAGAGGCGGCTGGACCGCCACAGCCCCTCCGCCACACAGCCCGCGAGGCCAGTGCCGGCTCCGGCCGCCGTCCCGGCCCGCTCCTGCCAGGCTCCCGAGCAGGCGCCACAGCTTCCTGCCACAGTGGGAGCCCAGGAGCCGTGCCCGGACACGTCTGCCGAGCGCGGGCCGGGCGTGGGGCTCGGGCTGGGCTGGCAGAGGCGAACCTAATTAGGCAACAGCACTGCACTGCAAGCCGAGGCGAGGCCACGGAGGACCATGAGGTCAGCAGTTGGCGTGGGCCCAGCGGCACCTGCTGGGCGAGCTGAGCCCCCTTGCAGCACGGGCGCCCAGGGGCCCCTCGAACCAGGCCAGGCCCCTCAAGGTACCCCTCACTTCCAGCCATGCCGGGCCCCCTATGGCTTTGGGTCGGTGGCTGTGTGGGAAGGGGCTGTGGGTTGGAGGATCCGTGGCTGATCATGCTGTGGGGCTCTCCCCAGCTAGGCCTGCTCCTCCTCGCCCTGGCCAACCCCCAGGAGCCCAGGCCCCCAGGCTAAGGAGGGGCACCTCCTGTCTCAGGCCTCTGGCCTCTGCTCAGACCCTGGTCCAGATGCCAAAGTCAGGCCTTGGGAACTGGCTGCTGCCCACAGGTGACCACTCACGGATGGCATCTCCCAGTGCCAGGCCGGGCCAGGTGGATGCGACAGGGCAGAGAGGTCCCTTTGACCCTTGCCCCCCAGCAGCCAGCCCTGTTTAATCAGGATGTGCAGCCCAGGCCCAGAGAGGCCAAAGGGTGGCCCGGCCTCGAGGCCACGTGCTCAGGGTGTGCTGTCCACACCCAGACTGGCAGATCCGCCTCCATACAACAGCCAACCCCCCACGCCCTCGAAACCCTGGAGGATGAAGTGGCTGCCTGCCGTTTAGCAGGCCCTCGTCAGCCCATAGCGCCCCGCCTGCCCTGGCTGTTCTTGCCCTTGGGGAGGGCCCGAGTGTATCCTCAGGGGCCTGCTTCCTACCCTGGAGGACTCATTAGGAGCTTCCGTTCTGATGCCCGTGGTGTCCCCTGGCCGTGTCCCAGAGAGCGGCTGGCTGGCAGCGGGAGTGCCAGAGGGGCCCACCACAAGCCCCAGCCTGCTCCTGGACACCATCTGCCTCCTGCCTCCCACCTCCTGCGTCAGCGCCCAGGAAGTGGAGCCGCCACGCCCTCCGCTGGCATCCCCTGCCTCAGGAAGACCCCGGGGGATGGGCAGAAGTGGAAGCCCCAGCCTCTGGAGGAGGGGATGTGGAGGTGGGGCGTCCTCTCCCTCCCAGACCACTGACATCCCACTCTCTGAGGGGAGAAACTGAGGCCCAGACAGGGCAGGACCCCCCACCAACCCAGCTGGTGTGGCTGCTCTGGGAGATGGCCTGCTCTCCCTTAATATTCGACTCTTTCTAGACCCACTGCCCACTTTCCCCCTGGGGTCCACACCAAGCTGGACACCTGGCTCGAGGGCCCTGAGGACCGACACTGTACAGTACTCAGGAATCGAGAGGACTGTCTGCCTGCCCCCCTCAACCCCCTCCTCGTCCGGGGCCCGGCAGCCAGGGTCCCCCATCCCAGCCCCACTCACTGGCCCCAATGCTGCCTGAGGGGTCTCCACTCCACGGGGGACCCTCATTGCCCAATGCCTCCTCTGATGCCCGCTCCCACACAGATCCGTCTCTTTCCTGCATCCCTGCCACCCCCAAGCACAGTCTCCAGACTGGGAGTGGGGTCCAAGATGGAGGAATTCTGGGCATGGGAGGCAGGTCAGGGCACCCCTCTGGCCGGCGAGTCTGGAGTTGGACCCTCTACAGGAGCCACCAGCTGCCCAGAGCCCCCCTGCTCCCCACCCTGGACCTGGTGGATGAGAAAGCAGAGAGTGGAGGTGGGCCCTGGGCAAGCTCGGCTGCCACGTGCAAGCCAGTGGAGCCAGCTGGAGCCCAGCGTAGAGCCCCACTGCCAGGGCCTGCTGGACTGCACGTGGCAGCAGTGGACCTAGCAGCCCTGACCCCAAGGCCATGGTAGGAAGTGTGGGGCAGGGCCGGGCCCCAGGAGCCGTGTGCCAATGGTGCCCCGGCCTCGTGCTCAGTGAGGGTGATGCAGCTGCACGTCTGGGCCAGGGGCTGGCTTCACGGAGCGGACCCCACACGCCGGGGCAGGAGGGAAGGGCTTTTGTGGATGCTCAAATCCTGGATAAGAGTAGGGGTCACTCAGCCAGGGCACGTGTGTGCAGCCTGGGGCTCAGCTGCTCTGCTCTGCAGGGAAAGCCCCCCAGGCGCCAAAGGGGCCAGGGGAAGATGTTCCGGCAGCCCTGCTGGGTGGGGTGCTGGAGGCCCCTGGGGTAGGAGGTGCAACGTGGAACAACACACAGTGTTAGAAGCAAGAAGAGAGAGAGGCTCCCGTGGGAAGGAGCGTAGTGCCAAGGAAAGAAAGCAAAGATCAGAATGAGGCATACGACTGATCCCATGCCATTGTACACTGCTTCCCAAAGTGTGGCCCACGGAACCCCAGGGGTCCCCAGAACCTTCCAGGGGCCCTGGGGTCGGAATCATTTTCATGATAATATTTTCTCCCTGTGCCGACACATGCACAACAGAGGGTGACACTCAGCACAGATCCAAGCCGCGGCTCCAAGTGGTACCAGGTCACTTCATGGTGTTCACATCACCACACACTCAGAATTCAACAAAGAAAAAGCCCCTTCCCTGAGCGAGTCCTCGGAGAAGCAGTAAATGATGGACTTTATTAAACCTCAACTCCAGGTTCATATCTTTCTAATATTCTGTGCAGGGACACGGGGGAGAACACACTGAGCTGCGGCAGCAAAGGCTGGTCTCTCCAGGGCAGCAGAGGCGCCAGCTCAACCAGCCGCGTACACGCGCAACTGTCTTTACTGGAAAGAACAGCGGGCAGACCCACCACGGTCACGCCGGCTCGCGTCTGCATAACATCTGGTGGCCATTTCCTCAAAAACAAATACAGTAAGACTGCCACTTGAAAAACAAAGCGACAACAAAGCGACAGGATCTGTTGCCAATGGTAAAATTCAAGCTTGCGTGGAAATTAGCATTTTGGAGAACCTGTATCCAGTGCCGTGAGTCTGACAGCTTGCAAACATGTAGGGCTTTTTCTCATGACAGCAGTGGTGATGTTAACATGTGTAATGACATGTGTCAATGTTTGGCAAATCTGCCTAACTCAGCAAACCAGTATTTTCCAGATGACCAAACCATGATATTCCAAAATCACACCCAGGGAAAGGGCCATTCAAAGCAGGAAACAGACCAGTGGTGTAACAGAATCCCAGTGGCCACAGGTGCGGCCTCGGCTCTCATAGCGCCACGGCCTCTAAGAAGCTGTCATTTGTTCGGTTTTGGTGTGGCATCAAGGAAGACTCCCACAGTTATCTGGAGAGGCGGATTCTGTCATGGCTTCACCCACAACAACACTGACAGACGGAAAGCAGGAGCAGACAGGAGATTCCAGCTGTCTTCTACCAGCCAGGCATTAC